AAAATTTTTACTTTTTTGACGTTCGTTTCATTGAAGTATCACCGATCGAGAAATCATATAAATACATACATACATAGATATGTATGCATATGGAAGAAACTCGTCTGCTTTTCTCGTTGATCGTTAACAGTTTTAACGTTCAACTTAATTTATATACTATATACGATACAAGGAACATCGGGACTTTATTCTAGATCGCTGCCAGTAATTCCTGTCTACTATTAAACGCGACTGTTTTTCTGCCGGTTACTAATTCAGAAACTGGCGAGTGATAGCTTGATATCGAAAAGAATTTGTATTTGGTAGTGAAAATAAAGAAGACGCCTCCTACGTGAAGGAAAATGTGTATTCGTAAAACACGCTGTTTATTATATTTGTTGACATTTGAATTGCACGGTGTTAATGGTGTTAACGGGGTGTTACTATTTCATTGTTCTCACAAACTTCCTCGTTGAAGCAACACTTGGCACACTGTTCTTGCGGGGTTTGTTCGAGCAATAACGGGTAAGTATCCAATCCAATTACCAACGGATTAACAATCTGCTAACAGGCAATGTGAAAACTTGCTATTTATCGAGAGTACGAGTTATCTTCGAAACTGTATTTACTTGGAAGCTGGTTAATCGTCGATTTACCCTGTAAATTTCTAACGAGTTTCCAATCGAGCATGGACACATCTTCCATTTTTAAATACTTCTCGTTGGAATTGTATTTGATAGCTAGTTGTTTACCAACGCGACAGCAAGCAAAATATAATCTCTTTCTTTCCGGTTTTACGAGGTCGCGCGTGATTCAGCGATGTAAATACAGCGTAACGCTAATTCGTCTCCGTAACGCAGCTATAGATATTCTTTAATACATATAAAGTAGGTATATAGAAAGCAACCCCTCTAAAATTCATCGTTGTTCCTTTATGCCTCAAGCTAGAATCTTTATGTGCAAATTTATTCACTTTATCCTCGAAAATTTATCGCGATGTACCATTTACACCGCGTTCAAGTCTCCTCTTGTGCTATCGCGTACCAGAACGACAAAGAACTCGACACTTTTCTGGATGCTCCTCTGGCAAACTCGCGCGAATCTTACTGTTTCGTCGCGCAGCGTCGTGAAAACCGCTTTAACAACCACTATTCGTCGATTACCACATTCTCATCTTCTTTACTGGTAGCTTACGATGGTTATACCATTCTACGTGTAAGAGCAACCTTCTTGCCGTAACGAACGAAAATAATATGCTCTCGAAACGATTAATTGTTTCCTTTTGACCCAGTTTGCCACGATGGTTTAAACTACACGCACGAAAGGGAAAAAATATGTAAGTGCTTACATACTTTACGACCTATCATACATAGCGCGACGAGTGGTCGCGTGGCCAGTGTTATTGTGAACGAAGAATGGCAAGTAGTAGAAGTCGATGCGTGTTCAGCCTGGCTTCTAAATGCGGTACCGATGATAACCGAAAAACAAAGTAAGAATAGTAATGATCCAAACATCTGTAGTAAGATGTCAACTTATCATAGAAACTGGTACATGTCGGCTAACTTTCGTAATTGTGCCGACATAACACTTATACTGGTATCGCGCAAAAGTTTTAATTAAATCTTGATCTTCGGGACCAGGTGAGGTGATTATCTCGTTCGATGCTCCTTTGTCTATGACGAACCGCATTAATTCTCCTACGGTTTTGTCTTTCACCCGCAGATATATTTAATAATCATATGAATACATTTTGTATAATAGCGTGGCTATGGTTGCTTTTCATTGAAATTATGCTGGAGGAAATGAAGGAGCGAAATTTTTAGCACATCTCGAAACACATATAAGGTAAGACGGGGGAAGATGCCAAACAACCATAACTTAGAGTTTATCCGGTAAAGTTTAGCAAAATTGTATCTGCGTTCTTCTGTTATGTCAGTTGGTAAAGGAGGTCACTTGACATTTGCTTTAACATACAACATAGGTATGTTTTGAAGAAAATTATGTTGTAACGTCCGCAAAAATTTTTTTTGCCGCTATTATTTTGCGTTGCAATAAAAAAGGACAGTGTTATCAACAACGGCGAGTTGCTAGCTGAAAAGAAGGTATTCTTCTTACTTATTTTGACTTTTGTACAAATGATTGGCGTACAATTTGACTTACTTAACAAGCATAGCATCTTCTCCAACACATAAATTGTGTTGGGGTAAGATGTCCTATTAGTATAGATATTGCAACTTATCACAGCTAAGATGGTGTCAACAGTGGTACAGATAATTTTTGTATTGCTTGTAATGGCTACTGTGGCGACAAAAATGTATCTAAAGTGGATTGGATTTCTTAGATCTTTTGCCAATATTTGTGAAAATTGTGGCGAATAAAAAGTACTACACAATTTTTTCTTTCGCTTGCATCTTTTCCAACATTTTATTCAGGTTGAAATGGCATCACAATGAGATTAAGCTGTCTAATGAATACTTACCCCAATGCGTTGGGGCATCAATTTAGAAGTGTTCGTTTCATAGTGTATAATTTGTATAACAAATAAAGTTTGTTAATTTGATAGAAATATATGTATTAAAGGGTCTGGCAGGATAAAATAGTCAGAAGTGCCCTTGAACCAATTAGGTTGTGCGATATACCATTCGAAAACTCACCGAAAGAAAACATTTGACACCAACTTTCAATCCTTTAGCTCGACCTAGGGGGTAGTTACAGGGTGGTTTATGTTCATAATTCTGTGGATTATTTTCCCTATTTAGCGGTATGCAAAAATTTTGAAAAAAAATCTAGCACATTGCGTATATGAAGGCACACGTTAGTGAATTTTTTCCGACTTTTCCGTTACAAATCCTAGTTGTAAAAAATACCCTAGGTCGAGCTATAGGATTGAAAGTTGATGTCAAATGTTTTCTTTCGGTGAGTTTTCGAATGATATATCGCACGACTTAATTGATTCAAGGACACTTTTCACCAACTTATCCTGCTAGACCGTTTTTTATAGGTTTAATAAAAAACCTTAGACATCTTCCCTCGACTTACTTAATGTATGTTGGTATATATACGACATAAATCGAAAAGGTGGAAAGAGGACAATGTATGAGTGTATGAGTCTATGAGAGAAAACGTGTTTGCGGTGTGAGTGGGAGAGTGGAAAAGAGTAGGCAAAAGGAACGAAACGAAAGGATAATTCCAAGTAATTAGGATGTAGCGATCTGGTATATTTGTTCGGCAGAATACTCACCTCGCCTCACGTTACTTTATACGCTGCCACGCTGCGGTTTTCAATCGCAAACGAGTGAATATTCGAGGAGAATCTTGGTTTCTTTCTGGAGCATGATTAACAACAGCTACGACATTCTTAACCTTAAGTATGTGCACGTTCTAGCTGCTAGCTGTTCTATATTGCACTACACTGAACAAAGGAAGCGTAGAACAGTAAGCGAAAGGGGGGGGGGGGGGGGGGGGGCAGAGAGACAGAGGAAACGGAATGAAATGTCGTAGAATACGGAGATGATTAGTATGGTGAAACGATAAAAGGGACAATAATCGCAAGTACGCAATTTGTTTGCTTCTCAGGGAATTTGCGGAATGCAGAAGAAGAAGAGAAGAACGGTCGATGAGAGTGGAATCGCGAACGGCGCGTGGTACACGTTCAGAAAACCGAACCTTTTTACATTATGCGCATTAATCAGGTAAACGAGACTCGCGTGTTTTTCCTTGATAATAAACCGCTGCCAGTGAATGTCAATAATTCAAATGCAGATATATTTTACGTATCAACGTACGCGGTATAGTTCGCAAACGTTCGATCGGTGGACACGGTTTACGGAAAGTAAACGAATATACACCTATAATACTATGCTGGCAAATTAAAGAGTGTTAAATTCCGTTTCATTTCGTATCCGTTTAAAGATGTCGGTATTCGGTTGCAACCACTTCAAAAGAATTTCGATAAACTCGAGGAACGTCGAAACCTCTAAGATATTCATCAATACAGAAGGCAGTTGTTCTCGATACCGTTCTTTCGCAAGATTTCTAGATTTCTGGGAAAGTTATCATTTGTTAGTTAGTTGGTTGACACTGTGCTTTGTTTACCGATAACACGTTTATTTAATAATAGGCAACAAATCGAGCGTATTGTACGTATAAGAGTGGTGCGGATAATGTTCGATGGGCCTGTGTCTCTGTGTGTTTGTGTATATGTCGGAAAGTGCTGCAAGCCTGTTTGTACTTGGAAGCCGAATGTCTGACGAGAGTTTCTAAATTTCTCACGAGAGTTTCACGGTCAACTGCACTTGTGCCTCGTTCTTTTCGGAAGCCTGTTGCTCTCAAGGATCACCGCGACATAGATATACCGATTGCTGCTTTAGCATTTCTACCTTGACGCACCTTCGAACAGTGGACGAACAACGTGTTTACCCTTACTTTTTTCGTCTCCTTCTTTTTCTTCGTCTTCTTGTTATTCTTTCTACAAACGTGAGTACGTATATGTAGAAGCGTTTCGAAGCTAGTGGCAAAGGTCAAGCATATATGAAGCTAGAAGGGTTTACGAGCGCCGCTCGCGAGAAACATACTTGACGAATGAGATTGAAAAGAAAATGGGGAAGATACGCGTTAACGTTCCCGTAATTTCCACGATATGACATGTGAACACGCACAGCTGTTCAACATAGACGTTCAATTGTTTCAAGAACTTGACTCTAATCGAATTGAAAAGTTTCACATACGCGTACTGTTCTTTGTGCTTGCTTGATGAAACGCCCGAAGCGATCTGAATACGACGCGTTTCAAAGTTTCGCCGGTTAAACTGAAAATCACTAGGAGAAATATATATATATATATATGTATACGTATGTATAATATATATTGTGTTGAGGAGTGATGTGTTCTGGGGAAAATGTTGGTTGTGATTTTCCCAACCGATTTTCGTAATACCTACCCGTCTACGAAACAAATAGCAGTGAAGAGAAGAAAATTGAGGGGAAAATAATAAGTGCGACAATGGGAAACCGCGTAGTTACCTTTCGTAGGTGGATCCAAAGATGTGACCAGCAGTCGATGAAGCGGTGATATTGGCTCGAAAGGATGAAGCGGCGGACAGAGGATGATTCAAAGGTGAGACCCGATCGACGTGACGGACAACGATGAACTGACGCTCCGCGTGCTTCACCTTATACATAGGCCGGCGTTGTGACGTCACGGATCTCTGGGACCAATGAGAGAACGAAGCTTGCACCACCGTTGGGGATAGAAATCTAACCCCGTACCCCTTTCATCGTAAATATCTCGGAGAAACTTGTAGCTATCTCGAATACGTAATATTTCGGTGACCACCGATTTCCCCTTTGCACATTTCCATCCCTTTCTCTTCGGAACCATCTCCTCTTTTCTCCCCTCCACCCGTTTCTCCTTTCTCCTTTGCCCACGAGGATATTCATCGATTACGAGTACAATCTCAGCGACGGCGTTCCTTCTAATAGCAATAAGAAAAAGATTAATAATCAGATATGCGAGTACATGCATTTCTCCTACTTCTCTTTATCCATGAAATTCTTTTCGTCGATGCTTCTCCACTAAAGAAAGAACAAAGGAATCACCACCGCCGCGTCCAGGTGAGCAGACGATGCAACGTTTGGCAAGACTTGCCAAGTAAAATAACGTCGGACCAAACGATATTACGCGTCGTTTATACGCGGTACGCGCGATTAACACGGTTAATATCAAGTTGTAATGAATATTCATGTTGGTTTGCAGCATCGGTCCAGCAGAGATGTTGCCAAAGTTATACCTAAGCGCGCACATTGAATAATGGCGCGACTTGGAAAGTCACCCAAATGACATTTGCTCTTCGAATCGCGTTGGCAAACGCTTCTATTACTTATATTCCAGCAAAAACAGAACAAGAAAATGTAGCGTGCCTCCAGCGGAACCTTTGAAAATCCCATGTAGTCTGCACGTGTTAAGGTGTATTCGTGCAAGTTAGCTCACATCGAAAAGAGATAACGTTCACGAGTGGAATGGAAACAATGTCCGATAGATAGGCAAAATTGGACAAACAGGTGCTCTCGTTGTCGATGAAATCAGGGAACAGAGGTATCGCATTAATACTCCTTGAACGTTTAAACACGTTTAAAACGTTCTGTAATGGTTATCTCACTCGTCCGAGCAATAAGAATAGATTCCATATACATACATCGAGCCGAAAAGTTACAAGTGGACGTTTGGTCTGAGGGAAACGAGAGAGAGAAAATGAACAAGCGAAGCTAGAAAAGCAATGCGGTATTCTCGTAAAGTTGTTTGAGGACGTTTAAATGGGAAGAAAGTGGTATTAGTTACACGGTCGATCTACCATAGTCGCGCGCCGTTACCGTCCTCTAAGAAGAAAAATACACCCTTGTGGATACTGGTAGAGTTTTCCACGATTCCTTCGTAGCACCATTTCGACCGTGAAATTTTCACCTGTGTCGCATTCCTGGGATAAACAGATCGTTCGTTGTTTACGGTTGTTACCGCGCGAAACGACGAAAAAGACGTGGAAAAGTAAATAGCACGCGTGTATGATATCTCTGTAATTAAAGCGCGTGTAACGATCGTACAAGACGGTCTATTGGAGAAGAAGCACGCGAGAAATCCCACGTTCGTTACGTGAAACATTTACAATGTGAATGAAACGAAACGAAATGATTTTCGATAGGAGCCAGTCAAACGGGGACGCGACTAACTCGAACGCTTGTACGCGGTAGAGAGACGCGGAAAGTACACGCTCGAATAAATACATCAAGTTATATGCATGCACGTTTCAAAGAGTGGTGTGGTATGGCGTATCGTCAAACTGAAAATTCTTCCTTGACGCTGGTTGATTGAACGAACGTTAACGTTCCTCTCAAACGGGCATAACAGTCAACCTCGTATAACCTTGAACCTTGTACACGCGGTTTCACTATATATACATCGTCGACGACGATGACGATGACGACCCTTTCGTTGCGTACGAAGAGGAGTCGCTTCGGGCGACATTCAGAACACGGAGAACTCCTCGGGTTCTCGTCTTCTGATCGAACAAATTCTGCAATAGCTGATCAAGCTTGATGACAATGAAAAGCCGCAGGCTGCACCGAACGAGAATCCTTATTTACCTTGTTCCTTTTGAGAGACGTATTCTTACCACCCAGGGGATCCTGTTATCATCTCGAAACGGAAGTGAAGCGTTTGAACCGTATCGATTTCCATTCAACTAGCTACCACTGAATCGCGTTTACGCGCTTCACTTTACCGACTCTGCGATCATTCCATTGAGAAGAACAGTGTACATATAATGTCACCGCGGCTCTTTCGTTCAGGACAATGAAATTTATGAAATGAAATTTGGAAATTGGGTAGAAATATGGAACCAAGAAGGATGTGTTTTGGGCTTTACCGGCGGAAGTGAACATGCATTTTCTCGTGTATCATTCGTTGAATACTTCTGTTCAATTTATCGTTCGTTCCTTTCTCCCTTAGATCCTGCTACGATTTCTTCCTCGTGTGTAACATTGGTAGCAGGAACAAATAGCTCGTTTACGTTCAGAGCAGCCGGTAGAAACTTGGTGAGACCAGGGTACGTAAATATATGTATGTATGTATACCTGTAAATATCTGTCGGTTCATCCTGATAATGCTAAGCAAAATGCAGTGTGTTCGTGCCATTGCTGTGCCATACACGTACGAACAATAATTGATTTTATTCTTTACATTGAATTTACGGCTAATCATGCCGAAACGTACAACGCAAAGCACACCGCTGCGTGTAAAATTTCACGATTCTTGCTTAACCTTCTAACATAAGTCCAGGGGTGTTTTAAACTTGCCGTAGAATTTTTCTGAGGGTGAAAATAGTCTATTTTATGTTTCGGATTGGAAGAATACTCGTTAATCTTTAATTTCGGATATGGGACGTAGGAGTCCCACCGGAACTTACGAGTAATTATTTTCAACATTGATCGGAAATATAGAATACAACAGAAATACGTACTTAAAATATATTTTTAATTCTGTTTTTTTAAGATAATTGTAAAAACGGTTTTTGCTTTTGTTACAGCAGAGATATACATTGCATTTTACGCAAAAGGAAAATGGTTTATTTTTAATTTATGAGTGTTAATGTGTGAGTGTTATGAGTAATTAATGCATAGAGTGTATCTGTGTCTAAATTCGCTTAACATTGGAAAATGGTCTAGTAAGTCAAATCTTTCGTGGGTACCTGCTTACGAGTTTTTGAATTTTTTGCAGTGATACTCGACAATCCGTCACTTCAGCATCCACGTACCTTTTGCCACAATAAAATGAACCTTGAATAAAGACTAAACACTCGAACACATTTTATCATTCCCGCATAAGTAATATAGAATAGTACGAATATTTAAAGAAACAGTGATGACGTATAAGGACTTGACAATTTTCATAAATATCTTCTCCTGAGTCCTGGTGGGACATACGCGTTCCATAATTTCAATCCGAAAGCCCCTCTATGTATACATAACGTAAACAGAATGCTGTACCCATAAATAATTTTGTTAATTAGGACTCAGTTTTACTATATATGTATATATGCTTATTTTACTATAAAAAGTACTTTTACTTACTTTAATTTATAAAACTAGTTGACAAGTCGCAACCAGCTCAGATCACGATCAATAACACCGACGAAATTCACTTGTTTATAACTGTAAAAAGTTTAATCTCGGGTTCTGATGATACAAACAGTTTCTTCTCTGCTGATTAAAAGCAAAGATCTGGTACCGGATAGACCTTGCACCTAATGTATTTTTGTGTCCAACATTTTGAAATACCGATCGTGTAAAAAGTCAGAGTTTTTAGTATGCCCTGTACGATATAAAGCGGTGAGTTTAGGAATTACATACAATCCAACCATCGAAGATGGTAAGGTCGACAGATGTAAAAAATTCTCTTTTATTAAATTTGCATATAAAGATATATACATATATTGGATTGCGTGGGTAGAATTATTCACGATCTTTTGACAGCAGCAGAACATGCGCATGTGATGAATTATCTACTAATAAACAATTACGTTACTTTCTTATTTGTAATTTCATAGTGACGTTTAATTCCAATTCCAACCACTACTAATGTTGTAATCTTATTCTATGCTGAATCGGTAATATTGGTAGCGCCACGAAAATGGTAAGGATCTTCTCGACCCTAAAGCCCCGGTCAAAAACTCCCATAAGATGCTAGATCTATCCTGTACGTCGTCTGTGATACATGACAAACTTTGCACCTAATCTATTTTTGTGTCCAACGTTCTGAAATACCAATCGTGTAAAAAATCAGAGTTTTTGTTATGCCATCTACAACATAAAGCGGTGAGTTTAGGAACTACGTATAATCCAACCATCGAAGATGGTAAAGTCGACAGATGTAAAAAATTCTCTTTTATTAAATTTGCATAGAAGATACATACATATATTGGATTGCGTGGGTAGAATTGTTCACGATCTTTTGACAGCAACAGAACATGCGCATGTGATGAATCATCTACTAATAAACAATTACGTTACTTTCTTATTTGTAATTTCATAGTGACGTTTAATTCCAATTCCAATCACTACTAATGTTGTAATCTTATTCTATACTAAATCGGTAACGTTGGTAGCGACACGAAAATGATAAGGGTCTTTTCGGCAACAAAGTCCCATAAGATGTTTTAGGACTATCCTGTACGTCGCCTCTGTAGTACTCTTAAGTCCCTCTAAGAGTTCAAACAATTACAAAAGTTGAAATAATTACAAGAGTTAAAACAATATTACGCGTATAAATGGACACGTTTGAAATAGTCGCTGCCCAAAGTGCACATTGCACTCTGATGGCGCGTGTGCGAATTAGTAAGAAACGTCTGCGTGAATCGATAGCGCGACGCAGTTGACATCGTATAAGCTTAGACCACAGACGATGTATAGGATAGACCTAACATCTTATCTGATTTTTTGTCCGGAGTTTTGGGGCCGAGAAGAACCTTACCATTTTCGTGTCGCTACCAATATTACCGATTCAGCATAGAATAAGATTACAACATTAATAGTGGTTGGAATTGGAATTAAACGTAACTATGAAATTACAAATAAGAAAGTAATGTAATTGTTTATTAGTAGATGATTCATCACATGCGCATGTTCTACTGCTGTCAAAAGATCGTGAACAATTCTACCCACGCAATCCAATATATGTATATATCTTGATATGCAAATTTAATAAAAGAGAATTTTTTACATCTGTCGACTTTACCACCTTCGATGGTTGGATTGTATGTAATTCCTAAACTCGCCGCTTTATATCGTACAGGGCATACTAAAAACTCTGACTTTTTACTCGATCGGTATTTCAGAACGTTGGACACCAAAATACATTAGGTGCAAGGTCTATCCTGTACCTCGTCTGTGGACAAGTTCAGTCGCTGCTTGGTGTGCGTGAGATGCCGTAGTTAACCTAACCAATTCGTTGGTGGACAAGTTAAGATAAGGTGTAGAGTCATCGCGTGCTAACCAACAACGCTGCGATGGACGATACGTCGTCGAAAGGTTTGAAAACTAACGAACAAATTGTAAAAGAACTTACGAAGGATCTAGAAAGTTCTTGCGTAAGAGCAGATGATGACCAGCACGTAGTATCGAACGAGAATGTCGCAAAGTCGACGGTAAGTGGTGTGGAAAGTAACAGTTTCGGATTGGACTATATAGAAAAGAAGAGTGACGAGAATGATGGTAAATACGAAGTGGATGGCGAACACGACACGAATCCTCTGAATGATTACGTGGACGAAGACTCGTTGAAAGACAGAGAACTGTCTCTCTCCGAAAGTGAAAAAGAAGTTTGTATTTTGTTGTCATCGAACTACATAAACGATCAACACATCCACTAAACCTTCACCCATTTACTTTCAGACGCTTAAAAACGAGGCGGAGAAGCATAAGAATAAGGGAAACGATTATTTCAAAAGTGGAGAGTATACACAGGCAATATTGATGTATACACAGGGAATACAAACTTGTCCACTAGCCTACAGCAAAGAAAGGTCCATTTTGTACGCGAACAGGGCAGCTGCAAAGTCAAAATGTCTGGTAATGCTATTATTTTAAGAATATTAGTATATTAGTAAAACGTTTTAAAAGAACGTTGTCGATCGTTCTGATCAAGTGACGTATGTATTTTACCATGAGATACCACTTTCAAAGTAGGAGAGAGAATCTGCAATATCAGACTGTACCAAAGCCATAGAATTGAATCCAAGTTACGTAAAAGCATATGTCAGGAGAGGTCAATTGTATGAAGAGTCAGAGAAACTGGATGAATCTTTGGAAGATTTCAAGAAGGTTCTAACATTTGACCCTAGCCACAAAGATGCAAATAACGCGGTTCGGGTAATTGACAGAAAATAATTTTCTTGTTTGTAATGTATTTGCAAAATATTAATAGGTTAACCATGTTTACAGAGATTGCCAGCATTGATTGAGGAAAGAAACGAAAAATTGAAGACGGAAATGATTGGTAAACTAAAAGACTTGGGAAATATGGTTCTGAAACCTTTTGGACTTTCTATGAATAATTTTGAACTGGAAAATAATCCGGACAGCGGTGGTTATTCCGTCAAGTTTCGTCAGAGCCCTAGTTAATACGTTGATCGACGTATCGATGTATACGTATCAATGGATGGATTGTTGAACGCGTGTCACAGGATATTTATAAATACTTTATGTAAATTCTACTCGGATGCTGTGTGCTTCTTCTTACTGTAATAAAGATGAAAAGGACGTTACGATAGGTACATATTTACAAGATGTTGAAATTGGTGATGTTTCCACACGAAAACCGCGTTGTTCGATTCACCTCGATGCGAAGTTGGCTTCTTTCGCGTTACCTATTGACATTTTCACAAGTTTGTTTCTAAACTTACGATACCCCGTAATTAGTCGCCGCGTGTATTTCAGTCTTTCTCCATGATAAAGGGTAAGTGTTCAGTTTTGGTTGTCGTGAATTAACCAGTCGCATGGTAATATCATTTACAAAAAAAATGCGTGTCGCTTATTGCATTGTTAATTCAAAGTTTCCTTGGTATCCACTGCGATTAATACTTGGATCGATAGTTACAATATTTGTTGTCTAACGTTGCTAACAACAACACAACGTTAAGTTTTTATTCCCATGATTTCATCTACCGTTCATAGTTGAGTTTGCACGGAATACGCGAATAACATTGGCTGCATATGATTGTAATAAGCTGAAAATGCAATAAAACGTGAAAATGATCCTTAGTATCTAACATAAGAACGAGTCTAACGAAAGTATAGCGTATAAAATTTTCTTTTCTCGTCTTGTATAATGGAAAGCGTGTGACGGACAGCAGGGACAGGTGCAACGAACGAACGTGGTGGACATTAAAATATGGTAGAGATACTGTCCCCTTCCTGTTCTCTCAACCTGCTGCTACATTCTCCCTTACGCATATTGCGATATTCTCTTTTTATTCGCTTCTGTCTTTAAGTAAATTCACTTTACTTTTTTTAGTTTGAGTTTTTCTCCAGTCACATAAATTATCCTGATTCCTCACAGTTTTCTCTCCGTTCAATCAGAATATTCGTTTTATATCCTTATTTGTTATGGCGTACGCGAAGCGCCTTTGACATATTGCGATAGCATGCGGTGCGCATGCGTATGCACGTGATACATTGGTATCAGGGGGTTGTGACAAAGGGAAAGATATGCTCGTGCACCCGCGCGCATGTGTAGGTATGTAGCTATGAGAAAGGTGTAGAAGGGGGGCTTGATTCGCGAACAGCGCATAAACGCAGTCGAGTGGCGAACGATAAACGGTGTATCGGTCGGTAGAGAGGGTATATGCGAGCAAAGATCGTTAAAAACGAGCAGCGTGTGTGCGCATTTAGGCGGTGTCCTGCCACACGCTCGTACACGTACACATCCACGTTGAGAGAGAGAAAGAGAGGGAGAGGGACTGTGTATGCGGCAATGAAATTGGAAATCCAAGAAAGAAAGATAGTAACGTAGGCTAAAGGAGGAAAATTGGAGAAGGGGAAAAGAACTACGAGTAGGAAGGGGCAGAAGAGGGTGCGGGTGGTGGAAGACGTGAGAAGAATAGGGAAAAGAGCAAGGGGGATGTGAAAGA